AAGGCATCATGAAAGATGAAGCAGGCTCGATTGTGAGGCTCCTGATCTACGTCTTTAAGGCTATGAGCAGGCGCCCAATCAATTCATATACATACCCTCCAACTGCTACGGAATTTCCGTAGTTTCAGAAATCTTCTTTTCAGACGGTAGCAAAATTAATGTCTTAATATTTAAAAAAAATTAATTTCAGCGTAACTTGTCCACTATTACTTATAAAAGTGCAGGCCATATGGCTAGATTCTTAAGTTCTGATAAAAATTTTATGAGAGATCCATTTGCTTTAAAAATTTCTACTTTGGTTCGCTACCACTAGAAAGAATTATTTTAAAAATCTTCATAAGTTGGAGGGTATGCATATATGATAAAAGTGTAACTATAAAATTTTTTATTTGAACTAAATAGTGGTGAATTAAATAAAACAAACTATCATTACCCCGCCCGCAAATAAACTGCTAAAGAACTACTTTGGTTACCAGTTTTATCTTTTTACCCAGATTGATACGGTTTCATGTCGTTTTCAGTCGGCGAGAAAGGGTTAAGTATTACTACTAAAACAATTATTAGAGAAAAATTTAAAGATGGCATGCAAATTCAGTTTTAATTTAAAAAATTACATTGCAAAATAAAAAAAAAGCTTAACTATTCTGTTTCGATCACTTTTTATTGAAATTCATGAAATTTTGAAGTGATAGTTTTCTTTTATGTTATCTTATATATTACGAGCCTGTAGATCATTTGTAACTTAATTATTATAATTGTCATAAAATTTAAAAAATATCTACTATCCCTGCTTCAAAAGCTAGAATAATATTATTTTATAGTAAATATTGGTTTTTATAATACCCAATAATATTTTTATCTTACCTAATTTTTGTATTAATCGATTTTAATTGTTCTGAGATAATTATGACTGAAATTTGCATCTCATTCATACTCATATGTGATGGTTATCTTAGCATCAGCCCCGCTAGGGGCTCTAACTAATTCATCTGAGTGGTGAAATTTGCATTTATAAGTACGCGGATGTCACGGGAGTCTAAAAATGTTAAAAGTGGTGACTAATAAACATCTCAAATTTATTAAGAGAGATTAAACTTGGCAATTTTTTCGGACAAATTTCTTTCATTTTACAATTAAAGGTAAATGTGAATTTCATTTCCTTTTAAACATGTATTGCTATAGTGATAGCTATGACTTTAAAATTTAATCGATTAATTATATAAAAATTAAAATCAGTTTCTACCACTTCTAGTTGCAAATGGAATCCCTAAAATTGACGAATTCCAGAGAAAGTTTCAAAAGTTGCGATTCCAGTTTGATTTTTTTAAGAAATTACGAAATTATTTGTAATTTCTGAGAACATAAGAAGAATTCCAATAACATCTTTAAACTATCAACCTTTATGGCTATTTCTGTTTCCTCATTAAGATATCTTAACCCTTTCTAAGGCCGTGGTAAGCATATTTACCACCAATTTTTGAAGTCCATGGTGAACTTTTTTACCACTTTTAATCCAGGATTCCGTTTGTTAATAACTTCAGCTTTCTTGAAGTTCGTTTGAATAAAATCGGCAACCATCTGTTAGCTTAAAAAAACGTATAAATTTTAAAAATGCATCATTCCTTTTGAAGATTGAAGCATTTATAAAATTTATTTTACAAATAAAGAAAAATAAAAGTCAATAAGTTCCTAATAGGTCGTGTTAAATAAATATACTTACCACCAAAACAATGGCATTTTTATTACCTGAATGAGTTTTTTTTCTTACATTAATTACTATTCTTTTAACAATTTCAACTCCAAAAATATTTTAATTTACCTTTACCAGAAATAAATGATCCATTAAAGGGTAAAATGCTGACTCCCAAATAATGAAAATTTATTTTATATTTAATAACCGTCGTTGAACAGCAGACCCAATTTTAGGTTTACGACTACTAATGTTCAACTCCGCAACCTTGTAATTTTGAACCAATCCAGAAGACAAGATAACTCCTGGATCAGTACCCCCAGAGGTATTGATTTGTCATGGGAACATGGAGGACTTTGAGGCTCGACAGATTTAACGTGCATCAATCACCATTTACAACACGGGAAGTCTTCGGCCGGTAAAGATTGAACCGGGCCCAGTGCCCTACCAACCAGGCTAAACAAAGTCCTTCAACTGTGAGGGAATAAAAGTTTCTTCTTTCTTCAAAGAAGTTTGTTTAACTCATTGTTACAATATAGTTTGTATTGAGTATCGATATTTATCGAGTGTCAATATTTTCCGGTATGTATCGAATATCAGTTTCTTATGACATTTATTGACTGTCAATATTTTCCGGTATTTATCTAATTTGGTATATTTCGCTATTGTTTTGTGTCTATATTTATCCGATTTATGACAGATCGTTCTTCAAGGAAGTTTGTTTCACTTATTGTTACGATAAAGTCTGTATTTATTGAGCATCGATATTTATCGAGAGTCAATATTTTCCGGTATTTATCGGTTCCTTATGACATTTATTAAGTGTCAATGTGTTTTCCGGTATTTATCAACTTTGGTATTTTTCGCTATTATTTTGAGTCTATATTTTTTCTATTTGTGATAGATTGTTAGAATATATTTTTAATATTGTTATCGCGTCGAGTAAAACTATCAATATTTTACGATGCATCGTCCAGTTCTATTAAAAGCATGCAAAATGTTATTATTATTACTTTTTCTAAATTTTAACCTACCACTTAAAAAGTTAAATTATTTTTATGAATAATTATAGCTTTTATTAACCACTTAAAAAGTTAAATTATTTTTATGAATAATTATAGCTTTTATTTAAAAATATTCGATTCAAATCTTTTGAATTTGTTACGTTAGCATTTCCGCGGCTTCTACGGAAATATTTAAGAAGATATGTTGGTAATCAACCACTTTTTCTTCCCCAATCTTGTTTCCCACCTCATTGATATACATGCTTCTATTTTTGTAGTAGCAGTCAGGCCTGAAAGTGAGACGAAAAAAGAGAAAATACTGGTAGATAAACTATTTCAATAGTAGATAATATTCAGAATAAATTAATATATTTTAAACAATTTAATGTAATTAATCTTAATTCGGCGAAGAAGTAACTCAATTTTAAAATTGCATCTGTTGAAAACAACTGGTAGTTATGGATTTTTATTATTCCCGAAAAAAAGCTGAAAAATGAAATTTATTTGTTACCAGTTTTTACTCTTTTCCGTCTTGATATGAATGGGCTTTCAGCCCTGGTAACCATTACCTATTTCATTTCAGGAGATATTTCATCGTGTATATGTTACAGTTAATGAGAAATAGCCGGTTATTAATATATTAACCGTTAATAATCAATAATATTATTAAATATAATATTAATAACCAAAAAGTCGGTTAAAGGGAATAATTTAAGTGAACATTAACCGGTCATTATTAACCTCTTGTGCGCTCGAGTTAATTCCAGCTCCCTAAACAGGCCAAACCGTGCACACTCTGAGATAATTCGAGCGGCGTTGTATTTTATGCTGCTATAATTTTTCACTCTCGAATATAATCAAGAATTGAAAATAACAATGTGTAAGCTAAGAAAAAAAATCGTTTTATTGATATTTATCTTTTACATGGGATTGTAAGCTATAACACTTATTTATTCAGGAATAATATATAAATATGCCGACTTGCTCCGGACAGGGAATGCATATTTTTAAGTGGTTGTTTATTAATTGTGATTCTTGATTTAATAAATTTAATTTAGTACATTTTTGTCCACCACTATTTCTAAATAATCCGTAGGCTTACATCATTTTCCACTTACTAATACTTATATGAGAAGAGCAATCAAATATAAAGAAACAATAGCCTTCCTGATGATTGACATATCCAAAGCATTTGATAAAGTATGGCACACTGGTACAATATATAAACTCATACAGCTGAATTTTCCACCCGGCATAATCAAACTCCTATCCTGCTATCTTTCTAATAGAACATTTCAAATCACCATCAAAAACAAAAAATCCACAAAGAGAAACATCACAGCCGGAGTACCACAGGGCAGCATTCTGGGACCGATATTATACATATTATACACTTATGATTTTCCTATAAACAAAGCCGATTATAACAGCATAACAGCCTATTACGCAGACGATACCGGTATTATTATTAAATCCAGAAACCCAAATCATGCTCTTCAAAAACTACAAGACCATATAGACGAAATAGAAGACTGGTGCTTAAAATGGAAAACTGCAGTAAATGCTGGAAAATCACAAATATTAATTATACAAAAAAGAAGAATTAAAATACTTCCACAACTTCAACCAAAAATGTTCAACATACCAATACCAATAGTTAAAAAAGCAAATTATCTTGGCCTTATAATCAATAGCAAACTCACCTGGAATGATCACATCAAAAGCACAATATTAATCCAAAA